CCTGCTGACCTCTGTCGCCGTGCTCGAATTACTGGTCGATGTCGAAATCAATTAACGTCTATCTACGAGACGAACAAAAGGAGAACTGAGAAATACGAGATATGTATAGATAGAGAAGAAAGTCAAAGGACAATCGAATTAAGACGTATCTATGTTGCAAGAACATCTAGAAGCCAAACTGATATACCATTTGTCATTTCTTAGGGTCATTATCTGTAGGTATATGATTACAGTTTTTTGGGAGACAAACGAAGACATAAACGAAGTACTCTCGTTGACATAAATCAACGCAAATTTACTTTCAGTCAGCTCTGAAAAATTTCAGTTCGCTAATTGGAGGTACATTATTCACGTACAATTTCTTGGTAAACGAATGATTCACTTTAATTAGTTCGTATGATTATAAACGAGAAAGATTCAAAATAAAATTCTAAGAAGGTCAGAGATATATTATTAAAAGGAAACACAAGTTCCAGAGTAAACCCAAAAAATTAGATTAGAAAATTTCATCGCTACTCTAACAAAATTAAACTGTAAAAAACAATGAAGATTTCTGAAATCTCAAAATTTTGGAGTAAATTAAAGAACAACTATGTTTCAGATACACTCATTATTCTACAATTTTTCAGTTCACGGAGTCGATCATGTTTGGCTCCTGAGTAGTTCATAGACCTTTAGGTCCAGTGCAAATGAAAGACACGATGTGGATTCAGAATTGGCACTGATGACGCCAAGTTTGTATTTCTAACGATGCAGTACACTGAAGCACATCTAATACCGGAACTGCACTTGCAAACTGCTTCGCTGGAAATACAAATTCAAAAGTTACACAGCGTCAACACTACAACTAGGACATCTCATCGCTCATCTGCATCACCTAGTTAGAAATAAAGGAACAAAGAAAAAATGAACAAATCCAGACCACATACTACACGTGCATATGTATCGTATGATTTTGTGGTTTTATAATTTGAGCTGTATTCTTTCGCTGTTTTCAAAGAGGAACAACAACGTTTTTGATTATATAGAAAGGATGTGACGTTTCGCCGGAGAGAGCTCGAGAGACGTCTGCCAACACGTGTATAAAAGGGCGAGAACGCGCGGTTTCAAAGAGGGAGGAACAGGCAAGTGGGCTGGAAAATGCTTCTCGAAAGCTTGGAACGTGAATAACGAGTGAAAAGTGCGGATGAGCCGGGACCTTCGGGTAAGAATGTGGCGAAAGTATAACGCAGCAGGGTCGGAGTCTGTTTCCCCGATGTGTTCACGACGAAGTTTTCACTTTCGGGGAGGGACAAAATGGCCATTGGTTAATTTCGAAAGACCTTTCTTCTACGTCGATTCGGCACCCATTGTTTCTAATAATAGAATCGTTTTTTGGGTTCCTAGCTATTTCGAAATTATCATTTCTTTTATTTGGGTAGTACTAAACCAGTATTACTATGGTGGCAATAGAATGACATGGAAAGTTGGTTGAAATAAAGCAACTTAAAAGCAATTCAAACTGCTGCAAATATCTGTTATCAAGGTAAGGATAAGAGATATAAAATTTGTTTTATGATGTCAGATTTGTGAGAAATTGATTTCTGAAGTTACATTGACAGCAAGCTGGAAAGCGAATATAATCGACGAAAATTCACGTCAGTGTAAGGCAGATGTACGATTAAAATTGAACGAACTATCATTCTTCTGTATATTGGATAATTTTGTACCCTAACTATCCATACGATTTACTCATCACGAAACACGAAAAATCGAAAGATATTAACACCTTGCCTAAAAATAAAGGAACCACAGAAATCGTGACGGGTTCAAATGAAGCTTGGCTTAACTGGGAAAATGATTAATAAGATTATCAAAATCTAAAATGAATCCACTGAACATGCATCTTTTTAAATTACATCAAGACTCCGTTCTGCACTATTCGAACACGTTTCGAAAGTGTTTAATGGGCATAATTTACCTAGACGATCAGCCATTCCAGGACTACCTTACGCCAAAAGACCGCAGAGAGAGAGAGAGAGAGAGAGAGAGAGAGAGAGAGAGAGAGATCTTCAACAAAATCCTCAAACGAAACGGGGAACTGTCCAACGAAGAAAATCGTCCTTCGTAACAGCCTTGTTGCCTCTGCTTCTCTCGCCACGAATCGAATAGAGGTGAAACGAGGGCAATTTGGGTCCCCGACACCCGGTTTCGAGCGATATTTGCACAAAATGCAGACTTGGAAACCTCCCTCACTCCTCTCCATTATTCCATCCACTCCCTTTTGTGCCGTAGCGAAGACCCAGAGAAGAGGTATACACGCAGAAGCTAGCCCAGCTCCTTCGCCGATGCTCGAGGATCGGGGCCAGCCAGACCCGGAAGAGGGAGTTGAATGACGTTCCACGGCCACGAAAACTGTCCCGGGACTGACCCATGGAACAATGAGTCGATTCGACCTCGACGATGAAATTTGCATGCCGACCACCGTTGGACATAAATCAGAGGACCATTGAGGGAGCAGTCAGCGAGCATGGCTGCGCGTAGTAGAAAGTCAGAACGGATGGAGGGATGAGGAGCGATGACGACCACCGGCTGCGAATTTTCGCCACGAGGCAGAGGATCGTTGCGAAAACTGGTTCGCGCGAAACAGACGGTCACTGTTAACGAAACGAACGACAAAAGATCGTGCTTTTGGGGATCCTTTGCCGGGAGAACCGGCTGCAAAGGGATAGAAAAGAGACGGAAATCGGAGAAGAAGATGGCTCCGATTGTGCCGCGAGAATGAACGCGAAGCATCTTCCTCGAGAATCTTCTCTGAGGGTTTTGATCAATGTAAGGATTAATGCGAATCGAGATCGAGGTGGAAGATCGGTTTACCGGGTGGATGGTGACTTTTTTGCGAAGGGCGGATGGAAATGAGGGAATCTGATAGAAAGATTCTCGGAGAAAGAATTTTGTGACTATTCTTCTGGCTGCTGGAAAGGATTTCGAGAAGCATAGACGCAGTAGGGTGACCTTTTTGCTGTCACGAAAACCGTGCGAATTGTAAAAGTTGTATTTGTAGACAAATTATTTTGTAATTGGTGATATAATTGGACGGAAAGCGATTTCACGCGAAAAAATAAGTCGAAAGGGTGATACAACATTTTTTCGTACGAAGCTAAGTTTTCGAAAAAATTAACTTTGAATATTCGTTGGCTTGCCGTTCTTGCGTGTAAGTAATTATGTTTGTAGAATGGTGGATAAAGAATAAGATAGGTAGGACGGTGCAAACTAATCCATCTCATTGGGAATATCTATAAATACAAACTTCAGTGACATCTATTATATCAAATATTTCAAGTCAGTTTTTTCGAAAAAATGTGATTATACATTTTCGATTAATTTTTTCACGTAAAATCGCCTTCCCCTACACCTTGGGTTACGGAACCCCTGTATACAAATACCGCGTTTCTGTTGAGATGATCGCGTCGAGTCACTGACTTCAAGTTCTGCGGCGAGAAATACACGTTATGTACGTTGTATTGGAGTGTTCGTTTTACACGAAGTCGAAGTATCGCGTTAACGAAAGTGGCGGGTCATCGGTGACCCAGACGATACAGGAAATCGCATTAGAAAGCGCGCGACAGGAAGTGTGGGACGTATCTCAAGCCCGTTCACGGCATAACGAAATCGTAGTGATGTGTTGGAAAACGCGGGTACGTCTAACAAGGTGTAAAATTCAGTCCAATGTGTACATGTATTTCAACAAACTTGCACGATGGCGTTACAAACAAAATTGGTGCAATAGATAACAACGCGACACGCAACCGCCATGGGTCGTGTTACTTATAAAAAGAAAGAAAATAAATATAAAAATTGAAAAACAGAGAGAAACAAAAGGAGAAATTAATCGATAATCGTAGACAGATAAAAAGAACGCAAGGAAAAAGTAAAGAAGTGAAAACGAAAAAGGGGAAAATAAAAATTGAAAAAAAGAGAAAAAAGAACAATGGCGTCGACAGTTTGACAAATCGGCAAAGTGCGAGAGCGACAGAGGACCGTCGAACCGATGTCACTCCCCCCGCTACTTTTACTGTCAGAGGAACTTGTATACCAGTACATTCATTCCGTAGCTTCTAGTTTTATTTTTTCGATTCCCGCTCGACTCATTCACGCGTGCACTATACGTGTCGATGCAGCCACACAGAGACATATACACAAACACAAATGCACCTGCGAGCTGTCATGCCCGCATTTCTCTCACTCTTTTTTTTTATCATCGATACCTATCTATAATAATTAATATCTATCTAAACTCATCGACACGGCTCTCATCGAACGAAACACGCGGAAACTACAACGACCAACTAAATACACATCTCTCTTTCTCTCTGTCGTCGCGGAACTATTTACACGAGAATGCCATCTGGCCCGAAAAAGAAAACTCGGGCTGGGCCTCCTCCGCCCGTATCTATACTCGTATGTATATA